AAATGTCCTTGATTTTGGATAAACACAACTTAGCAGAAACCAAAACATCAGTGTACTATCAACAGTATTATCACTCTGAATCCAAACACTGCACTACACTAGCTACTGAGAAAATTAACTCCATCCCAGCTAAAACCAGCACAAATGCAAGCCTGAATCAGTAATCAGTATTTTGGTTTTAACAAGTACACTAAAATTATTCAAGTAGCTAAATAATTATACATCGTGGAACAACAGTATTCCAAATATTACTGATCAACAGTCAACGTATCAATAAGCAGTAACACTTTCCATACCTATTTGCATATCTCAATGTATTTAGAGTGTTTTCACATGATGTCATCCCTGGAGAAATTGTAGCGATCTGGAGAAAACAAGTCATGCATTAATAAATCACTTTGTACAGATGAAAGGGTCAATGAATTCAAATTATCTTTTTTTTTAATTTTCACTTTCATTTGAGATGTTCTACAAAAACTGTCTACTATGTACAGCTGTCCTAATACAATGACATCTCAACAAGAGAGATGTCAAGTCAAAGTTTAAATTTAATGTTTTCAACCATACCTGAAATATTAGGAATTCATTGAAAATTCAGTCAATTTCCCTTATCTCACAGTTTTTGTAAATAATATGTAAATGCAAAACTCTAATTAGAAAAATAAGACTCCTCAAAGAGGGAAATATGCAGTAAGTTTAATGTATCCTACAAACAATTACCAGATTATTTATATGTATATATATCTTTGTAGTCTGTTCGAGCAAACTGTACACTTATTTGAGAGACCTATTTTGGCCACATCTAAAACTGTATTTAATAATATTAAAGATAAGCATGTGTTTATTTCCCTAAGTAAGGGAATGTTATCTACAAATAATACTTAATAGCTAACTTATTATCAAATATCTGGAATCTATAAGTCTCTACTTTTCCAGTTAAGTAAAATACCCTGAAGATCTCATCTTCTTTTCAGCACTCAGCAAAAATAACTGTGATCAGGCAACAGTAGTATCATTATTTGCCCTAGCTTCTCTCAGTAGTCCAATTTTCTCATATGTGCTTCTTTCAGGAGAGCCATAAAGGCTCTACCTAGGACAAACACCTCTATGATCCTACACACTAACATTTTTTTTTGGCAGCACAGCATCAGGAGACTGAAACTGATGAATATTAGATAATCCTGGTCTTCTCATTCATCCTGCTGCTGACATTACCGTACAAAAGCAGAGGTAGTCATCCTGAGAGGAATTTCTCCTACTGGGAGGAAAGGAAAAAGCACGTGGTAGGAGAGGTTAGAATGTCTAAAGAGCCTGCTACCACACAAGTTTAAACATCTAATACTGTTAAGCATCAGATACTAATGAAAACAAGTGTAGATTTAAAAATATCATATGACTCCATGTCTTTCTATAAAGCATTCTGGGTGCTAATTAACAAAAACCTACAAGTTCCTAAAATCCTTCCAAACTCATTTAATGTGAAACATGCATGCATCTCTTCCATCAGTTTAATGTTCAGAGTACATCACACATGGCAAATATCATAAAGTCAGGGGACTGTTCCAACTTTTTTGAAGAGTATAAGGTACAGCTGCTATAGGAAAGTACCCATGTGTAAGACAGTCTGTTGAATAGAAACATACACTACATCATATATCCTCATGCCTCAACAAGTCCAGTCCTGGCAGGACAGGAGGACTACAACCTCTCCATCACTTGCTTCCTCACTAATAATTCCAAATGAGGATAGAAAAAGCAGCACTATTTATGGAGAGGAATATCCTTAAGACCTGTAATTATCATTCTTCCCATTTTGAATGTGTCAGCATTGTTTATAAGCCATCATAGTGGGATCAATGGTCCTTTTGGGACACTGAAGTCACCAAATTCCTTCTTTCCTGCCTGGAGAGCTGAGGGGTCTGGCACTTCAGCTATGGCTGAAGCATGTCAAGAATGCAGCATGTAGAGGATGCAGTACTGGTTAAAAAATGAGACTATTCTATGTATCTACCTGTGTTAGGTTGACCTTGGCTGGCTGGACACCAGGTGCCCACCAAAGCTTCTCTATTACTCCCCTCCTCAACTGAACAGGGGAGACAAAAATATAATGAAAGGCTCATGAGTTGAGAGGTCACTCACCAATTACCATCACAAGTGAAACAGACTCGACTTGGGGATATTAATTAAATTTATTACCAATCAAATCAGAGTAGGATAATGAGAAGTAAACCTAAATCTTCCCCCCACCCCTCCCTTCTTCTAAGGCTTAACTTTATTCCTGATTCTCTA